CCCCAGCTCCACGCCCCGCCTCCGCCCGCACACTCCCCGCTCATTGGCTACTCCACTTCCTCCTTTTAGCCAACCACGATCTGCGCTTCAATGAATGGGCGGACCCCACCCCTCCACCCCGACGAGGATTGGGCGGCACCACTGTCGCTCGTAGGCCTCGCTCCTCCTCGCGAGGGGCGGGACAGTTCCTATGACGACTGGGGAAGCGATGACATCATCTTCTTTGCAAGACCTGGGCTGGGATTGGCGGAGGACTCGCGTCACGTGACCGGAAGTGCGGCTGGCCTGGAGTGGGGCTGGGGGCTGCAGCCGGGTCCATTGGGGTTATGACCCGGGGGTCGGCTGGAGTTGGCCTATGACCTTTGACCTCCGGGTCACGACCCCAGCGTGGGGTGCAGTTGACTGGTGGCCCTTTCTGGGGTCATGACCCTGGGGTGGGATGTTCACCTATGACCCTTGACGTCTGGGCTCAGCACTTCTCAGGACTTGGGATCCGGGGGGACCTGCCTCTGGCACAGACGTGTCCCCTCATGCCCCCGTCCCGCTGGGGCCAGGGAAGGAGCCAGGACCTAGGTGTCCCGACCCCGTGCACGTGCCATGCACACGCATGTCCTGTCCCGGGTACTCATGTTCCCCCCAAACCAGCACCTGCGGCTTGTGGAGGGGCCGGGCTGTCCGCTTTCCTCCCCTGGCACGTGCACACCTGTGCGTCGGCATGCACGTGCAACATGTACACTCACGCCAGACTCAGACATGCGTGCCTGCTCGCACGCCTGCCAACCCGCCGCCCCCCCACCCCGTGTTATGGGCAGATCAGCTCCTGCTACTGGCAAAGAGGTGGGGGCTGCCTGCATGCAAACACAGGCATGCATGAGCGCTGCCATACGCATGCACACAGGTGCCCTCCCACACGCTTGGTTATACACCCGCAGAGACACGCGTGGGCACAGGGGGGCATGCACACAGGCCTGCACCCTCCCCCGCCCCCCCTCCAGGCAGCCCAGCCCTCCGACCTGTGGGTCGGGCAGGCGGGTCTGGCCACACTGTCCAGAGCCCCCCAGCCTCTGCCCGGAGCCCGCCCCAGCGCCTGCCGGCCGATGCCCGTGGGGC